GAAGCAGTATATTGACTTAGCAGCAGCATATAATTAACCAGCAATCAGGGAACTGTATGAGGATCGATATCAGCAATACAGTGGATAAACCACAACAGCGGATGCCTACATGATGCTGATGTTCAGCTGTGGATTTCTAAACACCGTTCCATAAATGATCCTTCTGTGCCGGTCCTGTTTTGGCTGGAATGGGCCCCATATTTCCCCACCAGGCTTGTTGGTCCCCTTGGGCATGAGTCAGCAGTGTAGCAGGTCTTCAGTGTTAGTCCTGTAAGTCTGTGCTGCCGACCTGGGATTTTGCAGGCTTCAGGAGAGGTTTATTCCTTGTAAGAGAGAATCAGCTGCAGCCCTTGCCAGGATGCACAGGGAAGGTGTCCCCAGGCTGCCCCCCTTCTCCTCTGCTCCTGGGAAGAGAAGCATTTGTGGTGAGCTGGGATTTCCCAGCCAAGGTCCATTCTGTGCCTTTTTTTGCATCTAGAGCAGGCGAGATGCTAAGTAGACTCGTGGCAGAGCTCCCCGGGAGACTGCTAGTGCTGTAGCACATGAGATTTAGCGGAAAGGTGGAAAAAGCAGAAGTATATCAGAAATAATAGTTTTAAAAGTGCTAATGATAAGGAGAGCAGAAGTGCCATCTATTTGAGATCTCAAAGGTCGTGTATTTCATGCAGAGGAACAACAGCTAGCCTGGCTGTCTCTCAACCTTAATGTCTGGTTGAATTTCTTCCTTCTTATTTTTTTTTCCTGTTAACATTCTTTTTTAAATAGAGTAGTCCTCTAAGGGCCCAAGCTGGAGCCTGTAAGATGTGATAGAAAGGCTCCTGCTGTTGGAGTGGGTGGAGGGGATGGCATTAACCATCTTATGGCTGGTATTTGCTGTTTTGTTGACAAGGACAGTGTTCACCCAGCACAGGGTGTTTTGCTGTCATTTTGATGTGATGGGTTGGAGGAGAAGAATCCATGCAGTCGTGGCAGCTTATTCAAACTGTCCCTTCTCAGGCAGCCCAGGCATGTACGTGCCGTGAGGACATATCAGTAAATAGCCATGAAACTGGGACGATTTGAACCAAGATCTGCCAGGAGAGGAGTGCAGGCAAGCACTGAAATATTTACAGGGTGGAAGGACTGTACAGGGTGGAAGGACTTTTCTTTTCCTAGCTGAGGGGGTGTAGAGATTTCACAGGTCCAGAGGATGAGCATGTGAAAAAATCCTTGGGAACCTCAAATTTCTGGTGGTATTTCTTTGTGAAAAATAAAATAAAAGGGCAGTTTAGAACCCTTTGACTGCATGACATTTTTGTTTCCTCTGCTAACTTAGAAGTACAAGAAGAATTAATGAAAAGATGCGTTTAGCAGTAATAGCTACCATTATGGGCCTTCCCTGCAATTGTTGCTACTTCCCCATTGAAACCCCTACTGGGTTTCAATGAGAGCAGGAAACCTGGGTCTCTTCCACTGGCTTTCTTTGCCTGGGTGGACATCAGGAAGTTTCCTCTGAACCCTTAAAACTGTGGCTACTTGCTTCAGTCTTTGGAGGGGTTAAATATTGATGATTAGGGTTGGAAATGTGACATAGGAGATTAGATCTAGAATCCCATTTTGCTGGTGCACTGATGACAGGATCTTATCAGCCTGCCACTCTTATTTGATTACTAACACTCCCTGCTGCAGAAACTGAAAGGGAGAGATGGGAAGTGGCTATTGATCGGCAATCAATAGGGGCTGAGGTGCTTTCATCAGCCCAGAGAAGACAGCACATTCACCTGCTAATTGCAGCCTGCAAATCCCAGAGGGGATGCTCTGGGCGCTGGGTATTGGCACAGCTGCTTGTCGTGCTATCAGACCCATGCTAGAAGAGATCAGTCTCGAAATTAGTGCTTTTGGCACTGGCCCCACATGAGCCGTGCCATCCTGTGACAGCCACCCACGTTCCAGCCTAAGGTTAGCAGCATTGACTAGATTCATCAAACATGCCCTGGGAGCAAGAGGAACAGCTCAGTATTGTACAGTGGGGCTGACTGCACTCACTGTTTGAATAATGATTCTTCATTAAACAATCGGGGCTTGTGCAGCTGAGAACAGGAGCGAGCATCCATGCTCTTAGAAGCAGGCAGATGGAATTTCATCTTCCCTACCCCTCCCAACATATACTCATATATGCATCTTCCATCTCCTCTCCTTCTCTAGCCTTCCGTCATTTCTTGGTTCGCTTGTGCTTTTGCCTCCAGGTGCACCTCTGCTTCATATGCTTTAAAAGTCCTTGGAGAAATGAGCCAGGGCTGGCAAGTAATGCAAATACAAGGCAAGCTGAGGAATGTCATACATCATGTCAGTGTCACCTCCAGTATGGAAACTCTAAGAGATTGCAGAGAGCAATCTCTCATGCAGCCACTTGTTTTCAGGATAATGTTGTGGATGCAGGCTCAGGTGCAGATGGTCCTGAAGGTCCTGGTGACCAGGAGGAGACAATTGCCTCCTCTCTGTTCTTCCTGGAGCTAGAGTTGATGCTGGGCAGGGCCATGCTCCCCCCGCCATTCCTAGTTATCCGTGCAGAGCCCTGACACAGGGCCATTAGTGACAAATTGGGACATCACTGGGCCCAGCTAAATGGTGTTTAATGCTCAGTGCGCATCAGCACGACAGGCATTTGATGGCATTTTTGGCATCAGGCAAAGAACATAGCTTTGTTCTGCACTAGCAGTTGCTGAAGTGTGTTCAGCCATGGGAACTGCACAAAACAGAGACTTTGGACATGACCGAGTTTCTGATGTAGATGTTCATGAATACCATGTGTTCCAGCCGCTCCTGCTTTTCCTCTCCTTATCCTTTCTTTTCACTGTTGAGATCACTCTTTTCCCATAGTAAACCACGTGGAGCTGTGCAGGCTGCTCAAATCAGGAGCTGGGAGCAGGATGCTTAACATGGGGGTGAGAACTCTTCTGAAATACCAAGGTAGGGTGCCAACATCTCTGCATCTGTGAAGCTCAATCTCTGTCTCATGGCCTCCTGCCTCGGGTAAACGTGATAGTTCTGTGCTAAATCCAGCGCTGGGATGGAGAGCCTTCTTTCTTTTCTTCTGTTTTCCACTTAAGCCCAAGAGAGGCTATTTTAAAAAAATCTCGTTAAGAGAATGCTCCATTTGCATGATTAAGTCCTGGAAGTCAATAATGCCAAGCAGAACATTAATTCTGCCCCCAGTGTGTATAGTTATAAAACGATATTTAATTACACAATTACAGACTATTTATCTGATAATCAAATGTACTCTCGGTGTCTTCCACACACAGAGCTTCATATGTGAAACATCTTGTTGTATTATTGTATTCTGCTGTACTTCCACCAGTTTAATTATCCTGATCCTGTCACAGAGCTGAACTGACCAATGCCTAATCCTCTCTTAATTTTTATTGGGCCTCTGGTGTCCATCAGAAGATGTTCACATCATATTGAGTTACAGTGGTGTGAACAAAGCAAAATAAGATGAGGAGCTTGCACCTAGCACAAGGGCTGTCAGTCCTTCTCAATTTGTGGGCCTTTCAAAATATCCTAGGGCGATGTACATGTATATAAAGCCCTTTGGAAAAGACTTAGTTTGCTCTGTAGTGTGTAGTGATCTTGGTTTTGTGTTTTTTTTTTTTTTTTTCAGTAGCCTTTCATGGTTCCCTTGGGAGCAGTCCGCAGCCTGCCGTCAAAGTGTCGGGCTGAAAGCCACCACTCTAGACTTTTTAGGCAAAACGTTCCCTTCCAAGCCAGTGACTGTGTGTTGTACCATTCACTGTCCATTAGCACTCCATTTCAGAGGGTGAAACGTTTAACTTCAGAGCTATTTTAGCTGCAGAACTTAGGTGTCCTCAATACGCCTGCAGCGTTTCTGTCTTATTACGGGCTGTTATATTTAATTTCTAGTAGGTTGTGTAAGAGCAGTGTACCAAACTCTTTTCTCATGAATGACTCCGAGAAGGTCTGTCTGTAATACGTGAAGCGATTCCTTCTACTGAGAGGTAGTGCACTTATGGACATAATTTGGCTTTGTGGTATTTAAATAATAAGCCTTGGTTATGTTGTTAATGCTTGCACCATGTGTGAAGAGAAAGGATTACGTCTGGTAAGCATCTCTGTTGTGCCATGGGACAAAATTAATTCTGCCATTGTCACGTTCCCCTTGATGTTGCCATTTAATTTTGTTGATGCATGTGTGCCAGAGCACTCATCTAAGAATGCAGATTCAAGCATCACTGTCCTTACCAAAATCAAATCATGCCTTTTAGAGGTTTCTTTTGTTTGTTTGTTTTTCCAAATAGCTCCGTGCAAGCATCTTTCTGTTGGTTTGCTATCTCCATCATGAAACACGTACTTCTCTTAGTGCAACCAAATAACAAAATAACAATCAAATGACAGTGGTATGCTGGCACATAGAAATGTTCTCTGGTGGCCAGAGGTGGCTGGGCTCAGCTTGGCCTCAGTGAGTAGCAGCAGTACGAACACCCTCTACCTGAAGCAATAGCAACTGTGTTTGGTGTAGCTGAGTCCAGGCTCTGGCTGTGTTGCTCTCTGGGAAGCTTGTGGTGGCTTTGGCCTCTCCCACCACAAAAGGGTAGGAATTTTCTGGTCATTGTTACAGTATTTGATTGCTAGCTGAGGTGAAGATATGCCCAGTTGTGGAAAACTTGAAAAGGAGCAAAAATCGAGGGCAGGGCAGCTGGTGTTGATGGTGGCAGTGCGCTGAGTACATTCAGTCTGCAGTCTCCCCAAACCAGGCTGGGCCAGTTGTGTTTTTATTGACTAAGAGATTGGCTGCAGACGTTAGTTAAAGTCTGTTAAATCCTTCTGTGGCTGATCTTGTTCCCGTGGCCTTATGCTGGTCTAATTGCCTTTGCAGGAAGATTAAGCTGAACTGAACTGAGGTCATGTTCCTTCAGAGTAAGGGTGTCCACTTGGGGTTTTCTCATGCCCTAACTCCACGCTCCTAATTCATGCAGCTAGGCTTTCTGTGGCCTCCCCAGGCAGATGAGCCCTTCCCAGTGTTGCTGGGTTGCAACTTCCTTATGCACCTTCCTTCCTGAAGTACATGTCACTCCTTGTGCTGAATCTAGAAGACAAGGGGAGCAGAAGTAAGTCTACAGTCCTCAAAGAAATTGGCAAATACCGCCTGGAGCATCTGGGACTCAGACTTCATCCTGGGGCACACAGAAGCACCTCTGAGATCTGGCACCATTTGAGGTTGTTGGCCATGCAGACCATGAAGGACCCAGCACAGGTGAGCTTGGAGTTCATCCTGATGTGGGTCTGTCCTGTTGTGCTCCCAGCAACTGCTAGGGCAAAATCCACCTTCATGGGCAAAACCAGAAATTCCCCCTCTCTTACATCTTCACTTGCTATAACTGACTAGGTTAGTATTAGATTGTGTTTTGTACTGAGGTTTTGGTACATGATTTCATTTCTGTCCCAATGGTGATAGAGTTGAGCTTCTTTTCCAGTTTTGGCCATGTATGGTGAACTAGGATTTGGTCATATGTGATGAACTCTTGCAGCTCAAAGAGGAATAGCACATAAGGTGGGGGAAGCTGGCTTCCTTTCCCAGCCCTGCCTCTAATTTGCTTTGCGCACATGGAGGAGTTGCACCACTGGCCCATGCCTTGCTTCATCCACGTGCAAAATGGGGCCAACATAGCAGCCATTACACTTCCTAATGCTACATTATCATAGAAAGTCTCTTGCTTTGGGTCTTGTCCCTGAACACTGCTCATTCAGGGACAATGAGCAGTGTTCAGGGACTAGGGGTGGGCTCAGTGGCTTTGGAAGAGCTGTCAGCACAGTGTTAGCTACGTGGCAGGGAAAGGTGTAGTGTGCCGTTTGCAGAGCTGCGGGGGATGTGAAGGATGCAGGTCTAAAATAAATGTGCTTTCCCTTTCTCCACTGACCTCGCAGGTTTGGTGCTATCCCAGGCCTGGTGTCTCTGTGTGAATCACCTCTGTTCACCCCGCCTGTATGGGTAAGCTGCTCTGTCTTCCAGAAACAGGATAGCCACGGAAAAATAGACTGGGGTGCCTTCTGGTTTATGGACTAGCACCAGACTTGCCTGTGTAATTACAAGACCTTTATTACTAGGCAAAGCAGAAAAGGCTTTGCCTGGCACTCAGATCATAGGCTGGACTTGCAGAGGTGGCAGTTAAAAAATAGTAATCTTTCGACTTGAAAACTGAGCCTATTTCATATGGAGGGAAACAAACAAAAAAACAACAACAAAAAAGCCAACAACACCAACAAACCAACTGAAAAACAAATTACAGAGTTCCTGTAACGCTAACCATGCTCTGGGGAGCTAAATACGTCTCTCTCAAACATTCAAAGCATCTAATTAGCAAAGCCAGGCAGTCACTAAGGAGACCACCAGCCATCTCTGAGCAAGACACGTGCGTCTTGCTGACAGTGTTGGCAAGGTCACCCCTTCCCCATCTTCCCACCCCCCACCTCCAGACCCGACGTAGTGGGGAGCATCTGCCATCCATTTCCCCCTGCCAGGGAGTGACAGGAAAGGTTCACCGGGAAGATGAGAAGCATGACTGATGGCAGCAGAGCCTTGCTGAATTATTGCCTCTTGCGTGGGGAGCAGAGATTTGCTTTGGGGATGCTGGATTGTAAATCATCCATCTCCTTCTTTTAAAGGTGAACTGAAGAGCTTTGCGTGCAAGAGGGAATTAACCAATTATTTCAGAGGGCAGGATAGTATTTGTAAGCTTCAAGCTCAGATATGTTTACATATTGAAAATGAGAAGTGAAAATCACTTCTTTGGTAGAGAAGAAATAAAGCAAGCTTCATTTTTTGGTGGTTCCTTTTGTCTGGTCAACAGCCACCACTGAATCGGTGTTGGAAGGGGTTGCTGTGTTTTGGTGCTGTCTGTCTGAAGTATGCGTGCTCCCTCCTGCTCTTGAGGTGCAGCTGTCCCAGAGGGAAGCTGCTGTTGAACCCCTTTGAGATGGGGTGGGTGGCGATGAGGGGCTGAAAAATTCCAGGCAGTAAAAGGGCTCTTTGGATATCCCAGCCCCAGTGCCCCTCTGTGTAGCCCCCCAGCCTGGGTATGGAGGCAGCAGGAGAGGGATCCTCCTTGTCCTGCTCCTTGGGACATTTCCCTTTCCAGGGGATGAATTGCTCACTGCCATTTGGCATGGTCATTGCTGGAGAACAGCATCCCCCCATGAGCCTGCTTGGGCTTTATTGAAGCGCTGCCTGGCTCCGAGGCTCCCCCGGATCTTTCCGTCTCTTTTGTTTTTATTGCAGCAATAAATCTCCCAGGATCTCTCTAGCTGGAAGGGTGGGAGGGATGGAGAGGGGAGATTTCCCGTCTAGTGCATTGCAGGCTTTTATTGACTGTCGGGAGGAGCAGTAAATCTGTGGCAGGAGGTGTGCCCGGCATCGGGAAGCAGAGCACTGAGCACTGTTGCCTCCAGCAGCTGAGGCTGGATCGGGGATGCTCACAAGCACTGCCAGGGAGCTGTAATGGCTCTGTCCTGCAGCTGCAGTCCATCTTGACGGTGGGATTGTCGTGAAAGCTTCTACCTTTGCTTTGCTTGACCTGCTTGCCTGTTCATGCCATGCGTAGGCTGCCCTTGCAAGCCTTCCCTCTGCATACAACCCGTATTCTCCAGGGATTTCCATTTGTGTGCTCTGGGGGGTCACTGGGACTTGCCAGCCTGGTGTGTGGGTCCACCACTGCCTCACTGCTGCTTCTGCAGAGCTGGGGATCCAGCCTGGTCCCTGCAGGACCGGCGTTGCTCCCGATCCAGCAGTGGGCAGTGCTCAGCTTTGAAGCAGAGCTGGGTGCACATCCTTGGCGTGGCTCAGCATGACGGGTCATCTGCTTCTCCAGGGCGAGGGTCAGTGCATCTTTGCAGATCTGTAGCCATCTGGGACTGATATAAAAGTGACAGAAGAAAAATCAACCCTGAGACATTCTGGCCAGCGCCAACGCAACGTGCAGGCGCCTGGCTTCTGGGATGTTTCCAGCTAGATGCTTCCTTGAGCCAATGTTTTTCATCTCCAGCCTCTAAGCCCAAACTATCTTTGTTTTGAGGCTTACTCATTTTTTCCTGTTACAGGCTTCTTCCCTGTGTTTGTCACAAGCAGTGTGTGTGGGCAGTGGGGCTGGTGTGTGACACGTTCCCCTGCAGCCCAGCGGGGCTGGCAGTGGGATCCCTCGTGCTGTGGCTGGGGCAGCACACCACAGCATTTAGTCAGGGATGCTGGAGCTGCTGGGATGACCATGAAATCCCAGCTCTTATCCTGTGTCAGGGAGGACATTTCTACACCAGACCAGGTAGCCCACAGAGCTTGTACGATCTCTGTCACGGCAGGACTTAAACAACAGATTGGATGACTGTCAGGAATGGCAGAAGTAAAATAAAAATCATAAATAAAATATTAAATAAGCTTTGGGTGTAGGCATCAACAGTCCTTCCCAGGAGCCTTCACAGAGACCATGCTGTATGATTTTGTAGTAAATAAGTATACAATACCCCCAATAACATTGTAGATAGTGTTTGAAATACTAATGAATAGCTTTTTCCACAAAAGCCACTTGGCAGTAAATCTACCAGGGTTTACGTTAAATTCATGTTGAACATTCATCACATTTACATGCAGGTCTGCTGTGTAACACTTGCACTTCTTAATTTTAGCACGCACGGGCATAACTACACACCCCTCTGATTTTCTTCTTTCAGAGATGCTTTCTCAGACTCGGTAAGAGTGTGACGTGGGCTGTGTGTCATCCGGATTCCTCTAGCTTGGGAAGAATGACAGCATCTCTTTTACGTTTTCCTTGGCACAGCAGAACTGTGTCAACAAGCTGAAGTTCAGGGATCCTTACAGCTAGCAGCATTCCGCTGTTAGGGTAGGACCAGTGCTGTCCTTGGTTGCTGGTAATTCATAAAACCTCTACTCGCACTATAGGTCAGACAGATGCAGAGCTCTGCCACTTTCTTGGATTTCTCAATGATGACACATTTTCCCCCATTAGTCCAGCAAGTTGGATGAACATTTCACTTTTTTTTTCCTCTTTTTCCTCTGGTGTCACTCAAAAGAGCAGTAGAGGCAGAGTGTTACTCTAGCAAAGGGACTCTAGCACTTAAGCTGGAAAGCCCAGCTTTTATAACTTGTGGCACAGAGGTATTGATGTGGCTTGTATCTTGTCCTTTTGACTTTAACTCCCCTCCATAACTGCCTTAAGGAACCCTTCAGACTGTGTCTCTGCAGCCATAATGAAGCATCCTTGCAGTCTGATTTCTCCATCCTTGGACAGGAGAAACCCACACAGAGGTCTGTGTCTTCTCTCTTGTTTCTTCTCCCATACGGATAAATTCTGGACCATGAAGCCTGTTTGCAGTCTCCACACCTAGAAAGGACATTCCTGTCTGTCTTGTGAAACTTGGATACTGAAAGTAATTCAGCTAGAAGCAAAAGTATCTTTTCACTTTAGATTTCAGCATGCTGTGATCCTGGACGGGATTTGGCAGTTTGTTGGCAAGAGGAAATAAAAAGAGGTAGGGGGATTTTTTTTTCTTATTTTCTAAAAAAAAAATAAAAATAAATATATATCATTTTTTTTTTTTTTAAACAATGTTCTAAAGCTGATGTTGCTACAAAAATGGATGTGGATCTCAGCTCTGTGAAACCAGTTCTCACATCCTTAATTCATAGCCTGTCTCACCTGAACGCTGGGGCCAAGTGTCTTGGCAGGGGAGGTGATTGAAAGCATCTCTACTACAGTGCACACAGCATAGTGCTCTAGCATTTTAAGGTCAAGTCGAGTAAGCAACAGATTTTTTTCTTCTCCCAGCTAGCCAGCTCTTGAATTAGCCTTGCTGCTCATCCTCTGTTGGCTCTGGTATTTGTGGAGGAGAATACCACTGCTCTGCTGTGGTAGTTTACCATCAACAGTCCCCATTATTGCCTGATTTTACTTGGAAGAGATTCCTCATTTCCCTGGCACCAGCTTGCCTTCCAATAACTGCAGCCAATGCCATGTACTGCCTTACAGGGGAGGGCAGGCAGGCAAGGAGAGGCCTCTTGGTGATTTCCACCTGGAGGAAAAGCTCACTTTGGGGAGTGGTGCAAGGATGGCCAACAGTCTTTGAAGCTGTAGAGGTGATACCTTTGAAGAGAGGAGAATCCTCCTTTCGCTGTCCCAGGCTAAGCACAGCGACTGTTGCCTGTAGAGCTGAGAAACGTGGGTGTAACGTGATCTAAAAGATGCACCGTGCAACATCATCTCAGCCTAAGGCAGAGCCACTTGCATCTGTGTCACTTGTGACAGATGTTTCTCCAGCCTGTTCTTAAACCTCTCCAGTGGAGAGACATTTACAATGTCCCTAGGCAATCTCTTGTGGTACTTTTAGTACTTTACTGTCCTCACTCCTTAGAAAGATTATCCTAATTCTTATGAGAAACTGGCCTTGCTCAAACTCCAGCCATATTTTTCTCAGATCCATTCTTCCCTTGGTTCTTCATTAATAATTTTTTTATACCCTTGAATGCTATGCCTCAAAGGTTCACCTCCCCTCCTGTATTCACCTAATCTATAGGGTAATCCCAGCTCCTTTCAACTTTCCTCCAGCAAACTAGCTCCCCTCACCCTCCATTTGGGAGTGCACAGAGGAGCTGGGGGGGAACAAGTTTTCTTTCTCAAACCAAATGGGTTAGCTTGGCCCCTTGATCTTCCTGATGTCTGGAGACAGCCTGAGGAAATAGACTAGTGAAAAGGATGGGGAGGAGGGTTTGGGTGGATATGGGCAGATAATGACATTGGGGTAGCAAAATAATGCCAGATGGGGTGCAGCAGAGTGAGTTGGAGCTGGTTGGAGCTTCTCCAGTGCATGAGGCCTTTTGCTCCCACTTGTGAACAGCATTTGTATAATTGGACATTTCTCTGAATAAGAATAGTGTCAGCAGTTGTACAAATCAGGATGGAAGGAGTCTGCAGGCTTCAAGATATGAGCTGAATGGTCTTGGGAAAGCAGGTCCAGCTGGTGGTGACAGTGGTGGGTAAAGGGGATGCCTGGGGTGCCTCCTCTCTGCCCTTTTGAAGATCTTAGGACGCACTTCAAGGAGACATTACCTGGACAGCAAATCTCAGATCTCAAAATTGTTTCCGCCCTCTGAGACACAGAAAAGAGCGCAAAGCGTCATTGTGGCTATATACAGTGCTGCTTCCATGAGTATCTTCTGAAACGTCACTCTTGGAGATTGGTTTAATGTTTGCTTTACACAGCATTTTTAGCATTACTTATTTTTAACTGCGTATCTTTGTTATGCTCAGCATGTCCTTCGCCTCCTTGAAGCTTGCTCTTTTTCCTGGGATGTTGTAGTCACTTATTGCACGTGAGCTGGACCCTAAGCTGCCCGTCAGCTGTCAGTCTGCCTCTGTGGTGGGGCTGCGTAGGAACCATCAACTTAGAGATGAAAATTCCCCAGGACTGCAGGCACCCTTCTGAATTACCCAGGCCCTGGAAACTGCTGAAAACATTCAACTTGCCAAAATTGTCGTGGTGAGCTCATACATGGTGAATGCCTCAAGTTCAATGGAGATGATGATGCCCTTTGTATGGCGGCTGTGATGGCACTGGTCAGACCAGGAGCATAGATCCTGTAATGGGTCTGTAATTATTTGGTCCCCAACACACAAGCGGTGAGGAATAGTTCCTGCTTTTCTCCCTTCGGTTCCCTCATCGGGTCCAGTACAGTTTTGGATGCCTCCTTTCCAGCTGCTCTGTGCAAAAGAGGGGCACTGATACCACTCAGACATTTCAGTGGCTCCTAGCCAGGAGC